TAATATTTTATCAAAATGTCCGTTTCCCTTTTTAATGTGAAAGAGCTTGAGATGTCTTTATATAAGTGCGAAGAGAATTATCAGCTTTCAATAGCTGAAATTTCCAATATTCCATTTATGAAAACACTCGTCATTTTTGACGGGGTATTTGCTAGTACCGTCATAAATTGAACGAATTTTGTTGTTTTTGTTTTGTTTTCAAGAGTACGAGGTTAACCAGTAATCCTACAATATATTGGCTCTATTATTATTACTATTTAAAGGCCAATGTTGAAACAACTGGCGATGAGTGAATGTCTTGTTATTGCAGATCGTTGGTTTCGAAAGGTGGCATTCCAGACACCCCTCTCCTGGTTAAAAAGTGCATAATGCGGCTAAAGGTAGGTAGGACACGAATTAGCCTCCAAACAAAATTTCTTTTTTTTTTTTTTATTCCGCCTTATTTTGTCACACCAGCTGTATTTTCTACATTCACTTCTCATCTCGTTTGTAAAACATTTTACTATGAGAAGTAAATTTTAAAAAAATTATTATATTTAAAAAAAAAAGAAGAAATGTCCACCAGTNGGGGGGGGGGGGGACATGGGAAGGTTAGATTAGCTGACTGGGACGTTAGTAATGCTTAATTAAAGGGTTGATGGTTTGTTTTTTTTGTTTGTTTGTTTGTTTGTTTGTTGTTTTTTTTTTGTTCTTTCGAATGTATCAAGTCGTTTTAAATGATCCTGTTCAGTGCTAGCGGTAGAAACAATGTCTTGTGATGTTTACGGTTGAAAAGTAGATTCAGCAAAAATGAGAATTAAATTAAAATACATATAATATAGAGAGTGGTCAACAGGTGATGTACTGTTCTATCATAATTCTGTGAACGGGCCTTTTGTTTAATAATTATTATTATTATCATTTGTTTATTTATCTATTTTTTGGCGGGGTGATATTGGAAGGAATCGTCCTATTCACAGGCGAATTGAAAATGTTTTGAGAACCACTCACTCCCCCACAAAAATAAGTTTTAATTCCAATGGTCCCGCCCCCCACCCCCCTCCCCCTCACCCCTGCTTACGGAAGAGCCAAACAGACAGTCGATATGGTACTCTCTGCCGAAAAATATCTTTCTAATACCTGGTTAGTCCCCCCCCCTTGGATTCCTCCTATCCTAACCCTTTGTGTAACCTCCGACCCACCAAGTAAGTAACCCTTGAACTAGATATTAAGGTCACCTGCATTCATGAGTCGGTGGTGGTTGTTTCTGCTCTAGCTTACCTGTGCGTGTATCTCGGTCACACTCCTGCTTTTATGTTTTTTTACAGGTAAGGGTGGCGCCCTTGCGGTGATCCTCAAACGGTGCTAAATGTATCTCTGTCCACGTTGTTCCGTGTGGTACACACAGGTGTAGACGGCAACTACCGCGCTATACACATGGCCAGTTCGAGTTTGCGGAAATATTCAATCACGTGGTAGAACCAGTACATTCGTTTTTTTATTTTATTTACATCATAAGTCAACACTTTTTTTTTCAAGCTTGAGGAACCCCGCAGTGATTTGCTAGAAGCTACACACTAACTATATTTTTATCTATCCAAATGGGAAAAATGGGTTTTAAAATGAATAGATGATTATATTAATTATTTATAAAATACCATTAGCTATATAGAGTGCTTTTTTTTCTAATTATAAAAAAATTCAAAATTGAAAATTTAAAATTTTTTTTTTTTTTTCATTGCGTAACTTTTTTCAAAGAAACCAACGAAGCAAAAAAAGGGGATTTTGGGGGGGGGGGGGGAGAGAGAGAATGCTGATACAATAGAGGTTGTCGTTAAGGTTGCATTATTGAAACATGTTTCGTGGCAGACATTTGCAAATACAAAGTGGTTGGTTGTTCAAGGTTCTGCCACCATTTAAAGTATCGAGTGTCGTTTCGCTAACCGGATTCTTTCCGATTTCGTCACGAGCGTTGGCACGTGACGACACCAATGACCTTGCAATTCCTTGTGTTCAGCCGGGTGCCAAGGATAGCAGACTGACGGTTACCAGCCGTTGGAAGAGTGCAGCCGAGCAGACGAACCGTTCATACACTTGATCTTTAAGTACCATCGTGTAGTGTAGCTTTTGCAACGTTCTTCTATCTCCCCACGCTACTATCTCACCCCTTACAATCTCCCCAGCCCACTATCTCACCCCTTACAATCTCCCCAGCCCACTGTCTCACCCCTTACAATCTCCCCAGCCCACTATCTCACCACTCACAATCTCCCCAGCCCACTGTCTCACCCCTTACAATCTCCCCAGCCCACTATCTCACCACTCACACTCTCCCCAGCCCGCTGTCTCACCCCTTACAATCTCCCCAGCCCACTATCTCACCACTCACACTCTCCCAAGCCCACTGTCTCACCCCTTACAATCTCCCCAGCCCACTGTCTCACCCCTGACAATCTCCCCAGCCTTCACCCCTCACCATCTCCCCAGCCCCCTATCTCACCACTCACCCTCTCCCCAGCCCACTGTCTCACCCCTTACAATCTCCCCAGCCCACTGTCTCACCCCTTACAATCTCCCTAGCCCACTATCTCACCCCTTACAATCTCCCCAGCCCACTGTCTCACCCCTTACAATCTCCCCAGCCCACTGTCTCACCCCTTACAATCTCCCCAGCCCACTATCTCACCACTCACACTCTCCCCAGCCCACTGTTTCACCCCTTACAATCTCCCCAGCCCACTGTCTCACCACTTACAATCTCCTTAGCACACTATCTCACCACTTACAATCTCCCCAGCCCACTGTCTCACCACTTACAATCTCCCCACCCACTGTCTCACCACTTACTATCTCCCCAGCCCACTGTCTCACCACTTACAATCTCCCCGGCCCACTGTCTCACCACTTACAATCTCCCCAACCCAATGTCTCATCACTTACAATCTCCCCAGCCTACGGTCTCACCACCTACAATCTCCCCAGCCTACCATCTCCCCAAAATCAGGAGACTCACCACAAACATCGTCAATCAGTTCCACGAAAAAAAAAATATTTTTATATCTATATAAGCATTTGGTGATGAAACGGGGGGCCATTTTTCAGGTTCCACCCCGGGCAAAACTTTACCTTCGCACAGTTCAGCTTATTTCTCACCCAGCCACATGTCTCCACGTAGCATATCACCACGTCTCCCATGATCTCTATCTGATCCCCGATCTCAACCCTCTGCCCCCTCCATTTTCCCCTTATGCATGTGGACTATTTCTTAGTACCCAACCGAGTCCTCTTTCCGATTTTATCCGCCCTTCCATCCAGTCTCCCTATATTGCCTTCCCAGTAAAACAGAGTAAGGTTAACCTGAAAAAAGGAACGCAACAAAACAACGAACGTGTCGGCAGAAAGCCTTCGTCAGCGAACAAAAAGCCCAGAAAAAACGGTATAAAAATAAGAAATAACATTTTATATTGTGCTAACCTGATGCAGTCTCTCCCCTTATTACCCTATAGCCCTCCCAGCCCCCAGCCCCCCCCCCCCCCAAAAAAAAACAAAAAAAAAAA